AGTCATGTTAGTGTGATGTATATGGTCATAAAGAAGCACTCATGATTCCCACCCATCTTGCACTGGCCTCGGATTACGGTAGATTCACCAGAGCTTTATCTCCTCTGTAACCCCTACTAGTGTGTTGTCTACATGAATCACAACACTCAAAACCCAAGTGGACTGCCTACTCTCTTTTTGAGAACTTGAGCGCTCACAATGCGAGTTTACTTTTGTGATCTGTCAGTAGCCGTCTCTAAATCCTGGAGGAGGGAAAATGAGTCACACCGTTTTTCACATCATAATGCCATTTTTTCTGTAGAATAACAAGGATCATAAATTCAACAGTTCCTACCTGCAAGCCGCGCCTCAATGTTCTGTAAACCCTCCTTTAGCTGCTGATTGCTTGGCTCTTGCCGGAGTCCCTCGTGGTAAGTTCCTTTAGCATCCTCCAATCGACCAAGAAATTCCAATGCTGCAGCTTTACGGGAGTAGCCCTGGTTGATCACAAATTGTAAAATTGTAGATTGCCTTCTCAATTTTAATTCCTAAATATGTTGTGTACAGAATAATGGCACATCAAATGATATCTCACCTTGCCCCAGTCAGGCTTGATCTTGATGGTCTCACAGGCATCCTGGAGAGCATTCTCATAGTTGCCTTTCTTGGCATAGGCAGCGGAGCGGTTACTGAACAGGACATGGTTTGAAGGGTCAAGGGCCAAAGCTTCGGTGTAGCAACGTACAGCCTCATCAATATTCCCTGCACTCAGTGCCTTGTTGCCCTGGTCTTTCAATGCTGAAACCTATGAGGCAGGAGGATACAATCATATTAAGCATTAATAGACAAATTCACAATACTACTACTTGATAGAGTGCTCTCCTCCTGCGCTCTATCGGCCTTACACACAAGCAAATGCACACAACCCCCGATATAGATCTGACTACGTAGAAGACACGCTTTCACAGCTGCCACTAGCAGAACTGAAGAAAGAAATGGACAACCACTCAGCTGTTTGTGTCAAACAGGTGCAACAGTGATGCAGAGATAATGTGTCTTTATTTTGTTAATGCACATACACAGTCCACCAGGTGCAATTTACTCTATTAGCCTGAGAATAAGATGACACAGTGGTTAGCTTATAACCTCACAGGAAGAAGGTTTGAATCCGCACAAAAAAGTAAACTGGTAGCTGTGGGAAGTTTTAAACTGACAGCGAGTTGACTATTTGAGTTATCGTGCACATCTCCACAGTGTGTGACAGAATCAAGTACACACTGAGCAGAGAGAAGCATCACAAAGGCTCTACATTCCCATCGGACTTCTTTTGACGACAATGTGATAACATAAAAGGTGCATTAACGATTATCCTGGGCAAAGAACAAGACTGGCAGGACTTTCCCTCAACAGTCACCAGACCTAATCTGATCTGGACAACTTAAAACATAAAGGACAGAAGAAAGCTCCATCATAATTCTCTACGACACTGTAGGCTGGGATTTTGGTAAACAATGGGCAGAGCAAATTTGAATTTTTAACATTTAATTTGGATTTGACTCATAAGTTGTAAAATAAAATAAAATCTTAAATATTTCTAGTACGATTGCTGTATATTTCACAACTGTTTACCTAATCGTCCAACCGGCTGCAACTCTGACTAATTAAAATCAGTAATATTACTTACAACCATTATGATCCAAAGACATATGAGCAGATCTCAGAAAAAAAAAAAGAGCTGGACAAGAATGTTGATCTCTGTGAGGTCTGGTTGTTGATGATGAACATAATGATGAAAGCACATTATCCTTAATCACAAACCTATAGATCTGTCAAAAATGATCAAATGATGATTTGATCAAATGAAGCTGGTCACTGTGGGTGTGTAAAAAGTCTTACTCCACTTTGATCATTTACAATCAATTCCTTTATTTGACCAGTAATTATTAGTGGGGGAACACAGAGACAGTGAGGCAATTAAGTAGGAAGCTACCTGCAGGATTGAGTGTTACCATGTAAATCACCATGTGATTCCTCACAGCATTAGCACCATTATAACAATGTCGTCCCCCCTTTTGACCTGTAAGGTGCACAACACGTATTGGCTGCAACGTTTAGCGGCGTTGCCAGATGACTTATGAAGACTGGACGGCTCAAGCAATGTTAATAATATGTTAATAATATGTTAAAAGGGTAACGTGACTGTTTCAAAATGAACGAATCGCCCAAAATGACTCGAACTGACCAATCGCAGAACATTCGAGAGGACGCGGCAGTTGACGACAAAATGCGGCTGTAGCCATGACAGCAGCGCCGTGTGCATCTAGAATGATCCTCCGGTGTGAGCGCAGCATTCTGAGGCCGATCCAGAAATACTCCTGCAGCATGTGCTACAGGCGGACGGCCGCAGTTTGAGCTGCCGGTCTCCGGACACAATAGTTAAACAAATGGATTTACGGCTTAATTACGGCCTTTATTTGTCCGTCACCTTATTAATGACAGCGTTCACACTGTGAGCCAGCTAGGTTAACGTTAGCTGTTAAACGGCCGCTTGCTAACGTTAACTCGAGTGTCTTTACTTGCTAGGGTTAGTGAGCTGCTTTGTTGTATCGAGGCACGGCCATGGGCTACAATGGCAGACCTTACTGTGATATTCTCAATGACACAGCAGCGGTGACAAATCCAAGTCATGTAGCGGTACGTTAGCTTATCGATTAGCTAACCTTGTGGTGAGCAATCACAAATTAGCCCCAGCAGTGCTCACATGAACATACAGTTAACGCCGGCTAACCTGATGGCTCTTTATGGATCCCGGTTCAGCTACTGTTCAGACTAGCGCTGTGAACACATATTGTATTGTGTAACATCATCAAACCCAAGTAGACATCAGTCAAACAGCTAAAACACATTACTACCGGATTGACGCTAGCTAACGTTAGCTGTTTGATATTAGCAAACAGTGAAGTCCAGGTGTAAAGGAGGTGTCTAACTACACTAATCTCCTAATTATTGTTTTTAAGAGATTTAAATTAAAGTAACTCAGAGAAATATATCGATATTTCTTAAATGCGTAGGTTTGAAAACAGTAATTCTGATCATAGTTGCAGGAAACTCACTTTCTCCATGGTGCAAGCATGAGGTTCCTTCCAGAAACTACTGCGGACTAGCGCCTCCCACTGAACAACACGCAGGTTGCCAGTTGTGATGTAGAAAATCCGTAATCAACGTTAAGATGCACGTTTCACCCTTAGCCTTATACACACTGTCAGTGGTTTCCCCCCCGAGGTATCCTCAAGCACAATAAATAGTCCACGAACAGAAACTTCCAGAAGATGGTGGAAACCTCTAAGATGACAGGGAACTGGCTTTGGAGCAGGGCTGCAAGAAGGACTCAAATCTTTTACTTATGTAAAGTAAGTGTGAGTGATGTAATGTAGTACTCAAGTAATACAAGAAGCTACAAGTCCTGGATTCAAAATTTGTTTTGCATACTCTTTATGCAGAGTGGCACATTTAAGAATAATATTACATTATTAGATTAGCAAAATTGGCAAAAAAAAAAAAAAACGAGTACCTCAAAATTGAATCTACGATAAAAGCACTTCGAGTAAAACTTCCCACTACTGCTTTGGAGACAGATGGAGGTAGATGGTGATCATTGCTGGAAGCAAACACCTAAGCGTAAAAAAACACATTATTCAGCAATAAGTCTTTGCTTCATTTAAGACTTATGATCACTCTAGCTAAAACGCTATTGTAGGACGTAAACACAAAATAATCTCTTAATAAATAAGTAAAACCTGTCCTAGATTGTGCAGTGTTTGGTCTTTTATGGGAACATATGGGTCTTTTGTGGGTCATATGATGTCATCACATGGTGTAGTCATTAATAGATAGTCATTATTTATATGCCATCATAATATTATATCCCCCAATTCTGCCCCACCTCCAGTTTCTGAGGTGTCTTACCCCAACTTATTATAACTGCAGGACATCAGTTACTTTATAATGTGATCTCCTTTTAGCATACACTGTATTAATATATATATATATATATATATAGTTTTGGACCCCAGAGCAGAGATGAAAGAGAATCAGTGGGAGGAGCTGAAAATGTGAGTTTTGTTTCTCACCTGGAATAAAGTCCGCTCAACTATTGTTTGCTGATGCATACAGTAGTTTCTCAGAGGCTGAGGATGGAGTGGAGTCTTCCTCCCACGACGAGTCAAGTGAGGTTCACATATGAGCAGAACATTGCAGCCATACCTGGACTGTAATAAATGAGATTAAGCTTATTTAAAACATCTGTGTCCTTTACAGATTTTAGTACAGGCTAGTTAATTGATGGATTTAGATGGGATGGAGATGAAGAGGGAATTTGTTGTTTTCCTGTGGCTAGGAGGTTCCTATCCCTCAGGGATGAGTGAGAGGGACCAACACTTGTATCCTAGAACTGAAAAGTCTCATAGAAGCCCATCTGGGGGTGTTGATCTCCTCTCTGTCTCATTCTCCCTTCTCCCTTTTAAGAGGGCAGAGGTTAGGAGAATGCCAACATGCATATATACACACACATGCACATAAACACAGCTCAATTTCTTTTTATTTCTCATTCTCAGTTTTTTCTATCTCTGAAATTCATTCATATCTCTCTTTCATTGTCACATATTGTGATCTTTACAATATTGTTCTTTTGTTTGTGCAAAGCCAAACCTAGCACATAGAGCCTATGGGCAAATCACCAGACATCACCATATCTTTCAATCATTTTCATAAACATTCTTGTTTCAAGGCAAGAGTCTAAAGAGTGACCAATAAAGTCAAATGATTTTAAATTAAGACTTGGACAGTCAACAGCCCAGTCAAAGTCTAAGCCAGTCCTGATTTTCCTTTTCAGTTATCTCAAAAGTGGTAAACACCGCATGCAATCGCTGCGAGTCACAAGAAATGCTTTAGTCATTATTTTGTAATTAGGACCTCCGAGCTCGTTCAGGACCGTGAACGCAACATCCGTCACCAGTGGCATTTGGCGCGTGCTGCTTTCCAAGGTGCTGAAGCGTAAAGGACATTTTTATTTTAGGTTGCTGGAACTTTTGTTCACTTTCGCCAACAAAACCGAGTTGGTAAAGAATTACTTGATGTACAATTTTTATAGAAAACAATGTGGGCTTGTAAAGATAAAAATAGTTACACGTGGTAGCTGTACATTACAGCAGAAAGCCAGAGGAGCTGTCTAAAGCAATTAACGCTAACGCTAGCATTTTAGCTAACTAATGTAGCTAATTTACTATATCTAAGTTAGCTGTTTTAAAACAAAGTGACATCAGTTCTGAGCTCTTTTTCTTTCTTTCTTTGGCGCATCTCTTCCTGTAACATCAGCTAATACCACCCATCAGCTGGATGAGCGACTTTCTCTGAGCAACCACAATGAGGAGGCAGGAAAACCAGCCAGCCAGGCCAACAGCAGGTTTGTAGAAGAGATTTATTTCACAATCCGTACACTTGTGTTTTCATTTCCTCATATTAATAGTTTGCTTTGATTTCTGCCTGCTTTGTTCTAAAGTGTGTTTTTAAATGCAATTGAAATATTGAAAGTGAAATAGTATGTGTTTGGTAATATTTCCAATATCCTAAAAGCTTCAAATGTGTTTTTCTTGGTGTGGTACCATACCCAAAGAACAAATACATATAATATAAAGTTGGTAAATAGATAGATTGTCAAGGAGTCTGGCCTGATGTACTGAGCTGTCTGATATAAGTTTTCTGTCTCCATCAGGCTGCCTGTCTGTGCCGCTCTTTAACCAGAAAAAAAGAAACAGAGTTCCTTTGACATCTGCTCCCTCCGAGAATGAATTCTTCTCTCACAGTGAATACATGGCAAGCGCCAGCTCAGCCACGTCTCACAGCACATCAGGTGAAGCATTCAGTTGGGCTCTTAAGTGTCTACTGTATATCAGTCACAAGGTGGCAGTACACCCAAAGAAAAATACAAATACAATACTTCTTTAACCCTCAACAGTGTGAGATACACAGGCCATCTAAATATATATTTTTATATATTTAATATTTTACATGAAACAAAGGATAATATTGTAAAACATCTCCTCATTAATTTAGGTAACCATTCACAGCTACAAGCAGTGGAGGTTGCTAAAAGATTTTCCTTTTGAGAATGTACCTTTCCTCAGGTACCTATGGATGTTACCAGGCCTCAGCTCCATCCTCTGGTGCTCCACAAAGCCACCTGTGGAACAGACAGGGCCTCCCACCATCCACTCTGCCCCAGCAGTATGGCAGCAACAGACCTGCTCCTGGACCTGCCCCTGCCATGAGAAACTATGCTCCCATACCACATCCATACAAAGCTGGAGGTACAAGGTATGTTTCACTGATTTTCTGACCCTCAGTGTGATGGTCAGCGGTTTGACCCATTTGTCAAAGCCTAAAACAGACTTTTTTTATAACAAATACAACCAAACAAATTCAAATTCTAAAGTTGAAAAAGTCAGTGTGACATGTGTCTGGTGCAAGCTGGGTTCAGAGTGTTATTTAATTTTCATTTTAGCTCTAAGATGGGACAGCTCAGCAACCCAGTGACACAACAGGAACCCAGCCCCACTGTAAACTCCAGACAGAGCGAATATCGAGCCGCCCCCATCAGTGAGAGTGCACAAAGCAAGCCAACACCCCATACTGGGTTCTCTAAAATGGGTCAGCAGTCATCTTACAGGCAGGCCAATCCCACACATCAGTATTCCCAGCGACCCAGACCTTTGCCTGCTCCTGTTCCACCACCCAGCAGGCCCTCTGCTCATGCAGCGCAGCCACAAAACAACTCCTGGAAGTTCACTAACAGCTTTGGGCCGCAGAAACCCGCCTTTGAGGGAAACAGGGGCAGAAATCAACCTCAGACTGTGAGACAAACTCAAACTCAGGTAGAAAAATATTTAAAGAATATATAATGATATATACATCTTTTAAACTGCCCATTAATGTTTCATGATAGTATTAGTGGTCAGTGCAGCATTTGTATTTGTTCTCAGCAGGCAACATTTCCAGTGAAGCCAGCCATTGAGAACTCTCTGAGGATCCTGACTGCAGTTATTGATGGCATGAGGCACTGGAGCCAGTTTAAAGACAAAGTCCCATACTTATTTGAGATATTTGGTCAGTTGATTAGGTGTTATCTCTGATGTGTACTCTTAAGTATTTTTAAACACAATTACATTGACAAGCTGCGCTCTTCCCTCAGCTACTCTAGACTCTGCGGTCACACAGGGTCGCCATGGAGCCAAGAACTTCCTCATGAGAGACGGGAAGGAGGTTGTGCAGTGTGTCTTCTATGAAAATGTGAGTTGAGTAAAAAACTTGCACTTTGCACTTTGGTTATACTGTATATTTACTGTACAAGTAAACCTCTCAGTATATATGAGTGGAAGTATATATGAATATGTTACTATCTTCAGTGACCTTGGTTTGAATTTGAACATCTGGAGGAATTAGTAAATAGTTTTTATGAGGGCTGTGAAAAGATTTATCTTCTCCCTTTTCACGTGGCCCTCTTCCCCAATATTAAGTGGGGATCATTTTAGTGCAATGTTTGAGTTAATTGGATAATTTATCAATCAGGTCATATAAATATAACAACCATGTTAGTTTGTTTAACTGTTATTTCACAGGGTTATGCTCTATTGAAAGGGATGTGTGATTGTGCAGTTGTTCTGCCTGTGATGTTGGGGTAGATGAGCTGTTCAATCAGTGACCGTGAAAATAGGTTTGCATCATTATGTCCTCTTGGCTGTATGCATGTGTGCCCATAGCCACATTGTGATGTTAGCAGTAACAGAGAAATAATGAATTATTTTGTATGATTTGTGATTCTTGATATCTATTTACTTACCTGAGCAGGTGGTAGTTCCAGTTAGGTGTAGCTGAGAAGATGCCATTCACTGGAGCGGAGGGAGGAGGCAGCAGCTTCATTAGTCTTTTCTTTTCTTTTCTTTTTGTTGACATTTCTGTGTTTTTGCTTCTGTTTCATAAATATTTTTGCTAATAAATGGGACCTTCTTCAAAGTCCTCTTCAAAATGTTCCGTTGCCAAGCATCATCATCTGCCCTCTATATAAGGTGGCAGCCTGACACTGGCACAAATATTTGCACAAACAGTGGCAAAACATGAAATAGCACTGGAATCTAACTTGACTTAATCCTGATTTCTGGCTCGTGTCCAACAGGAGCAGGAACTGCCTCGTCTCATTCGTGGTCAAGTCCATCGCTGTGTGGGGAACTACGACCGCAGTAGAGATGTCCTGATATGTGTGTCCGTCAGACCCGGCCTGCCCTCAGAGCTGAGGAATGCTCAGGAGGCGGTCAAAGCCTGTGATGCAGAAATGAGAGTGCTGGTCAAATCCCTCAGTGAAGTCTGAGCAAGAGTAGGTATCTTCAGCAGTAAGACTGATAGGTAGAAAGTATACCAGTATTTTATGGGGGTACATGAGAGCCAAGCTTAGTGCTATATTGTAATAGAAAACGTTTGTTGTGGCTTAAAGTCCCAGTAGTTTTTCAAAGCATGTTTAAGCTATTATTTGTAAAGTGCGCTGTTGCCATTAGCTTGTTGTATGCAAACAAATGCACTTGTACTGAACTTTAAGAGCTGAATTCACTGGCATGTTCTGGCGTAGATGTGTTTGTATTTATTTGTCAACCAAATATATAAAGAGTTGTTTCATGTAACCAAAACTGTAACGGAAAGTAAAGCCTCTCTTTTTTGTAATTTCTGAAATATTTTTATTACAAAGAAAATTCACAGAACAGCAAACATTGTTTAGAGGTTAATTCAGGGGAAAGCAAACACGATGAGGTAATATCTCAAAATATATCTTTAAAAAAACGGGGCAGTTAAGAATAACGTGATATCAAGTACAATTAGTTTATTTACAGTCAAACATCACAATGAAAAAAAAAACAATAACTCTACTCTACCAAAACAGTTTCACCAGTGCTGAGACTTTACACACAATGGTTCAACAAATAGGGGAATAAGTCCAGTGCAGTCACGCTAGTCATTCCCACAGTCAAGCACAGTATGAGGTCCAATACAATACCAACATTTCTCTCCTGACCTTCTTTCAAATATGGCAACATAATCACAGTAATTGTTTTAATGTCAGGACATGTCATTATGGGAACCAAAATTTGGGGAATATTTAAAGATTAACCCATTATCAAAATCCAACCCATTATTTAACACTAATACGCACATAAACACCCACTAGAAAAGGGAGTCTAGCTTGCTGAAATTGGCAGTGTACAGGGACAGTAAGTGGAGAAGTAGACATTTTGTCCTTGGAACATGATGGGAATGGTGCCAGCGCTTAAAAGGAGAAGTGGGTTGACGAAAACACAGCAACACATTAGCTTATTTGAGGAGCTAATTATTTTAAGCCACATTTTACACATAATGAGAATAATGTGTCAGCTCAGCACAGATAACCAAAGGCAAAGTTCAATTTGTACAGCTTCCTCTACCACTCACTTTCTAAATCACATTAGACAATGATGCCAGGAATTAATCTGTTAGCTGCATGTCACAACCTTTTATTATCGCAATTCAAGTTACTTCTTCTAGGTAATTGGCAAAAATGTCTCAGGGCATACTTTAACACAAGTACACTGCTTTTCTTTTTTTTTTCCTTCTCTCTGTCATTACCTCTACAGATTAGAAGACATCATCTTTTTTATCCTCCAGAACATTTTCTCAAGTTAATGAGATCATACTGCATCAAGTACAGGAGAAAACTCTTTACCTCTGAGAGGAAAACAATATAAGAGAGAAAAAAACACATCACACAACAGGATCCACAGTTTTTCAGCAGAAAAATATGATAACCTGATAATTGTATTAAACACTTCGTCTTGGTTATGTTAAAAGGCACAAGTTGGTCAGATCACATTTAAAATCTAGATCAATTGTTCTACCATTAACAAAGCCCATCTTATCATGCATTTTTGACAAAATTCCTACATCTCCCTGCCTTTTGCAATCATTTTTTCCTGAATTAGAGTGTTTAGTATTGTGTGTTGTAGACAGAAAACAATTGCTTATTTTCAACAAGCGAGTTACATTACACGAACAATTCTGGGGAAAAAGGCTAACAAAGGATGCAGTATCAGTATCACAACATAAAGGTTTTGACAACACTGCTCTGAAACCACTACTTATTTTTAATGATTCACCTCCTTGTTATGAGAAGACATTTCCATGTGTCCTCTCGGCAGGTCTGATGCTGTGTTCTTTTCTTTGTGACAGTTACTGAATGTCTTTGAAAGCTAAATCGTCTTCTCGACTCCCACTAGTTGACTGCCTGGTCACAAGACTGGAAGGCAGAAAAAGTCTGAAGAGCAAAAGTGTCAGAGTTCCCTTTTTAATGTTTTTAATTTGAAACCTCAAACATCAGCCCTGTATAATACAGACCATATGTACAGTCCAAATGCTGCAGCACAAAACATCGCCACTGGATGCAACTCCTTAAGAGCTGGGACATGTGGATCCATTAATATCATCAATCTCCAACTGTTCGAAGGGGCTCTCCTGTTGAGTCGCATGTTCTTGAAAACCTCTTATTGAAACATTATTTGATTGGACTAGTCATACTGCCACATAATCTCATGCTTCCACTCTCTTTATGCAGCCAACTTCCAGTCTCTTTTGGAATGTTACATATGTTGACTTGTAAAAGAAAGGAAGGAAAAAAACATTTTCTTACTCACTTGTTATGTTCGTGTTATTTTTTTTAAAATCATGTGAAATGATCAGTCCTTGCATTTTCTGACTGCATCATCTCCAGAACTGACAAAACTGTTAGATTTGAGGGTAAAAATGATAACCACAGAGTATCATTGTAACATAAAACATTCCATTTAAATGAACTGAATTTGAATTAATTACATAACAGATGCAGGAAGACAGTGTTTGTTGTTGAGCGTCAGCTTCACTTATCACTGAGTGGGGCTTCCCAAACAGCATCGCCTTTAAAAAAACGGGATGCATGTGTCTCTCCATGACATCAAGCCCAGGTCAGAGAGAGTGGTCAGGAGGGAAAAAAACAAGACATCGTATCAATGCACTATAACAGCGTGGGCAAAGGGGTGGGGGACAGCTGCTCCTTCGGTGCATATTTAGCAAAAAAGGGCAAGAAGACGGTGAGCATGACTCCCACAATAGCCAGCATGTAGCCCCAGCCGATCTGGCACTCGCCAGCGTAGTAGATGTCAGAGTCCCCGCAGAAGGACCTGACCAGTGAGGAGTTTAGGCCGAAGGGGTAGACCAGCAGTCCAGCAGCCATGATGAACACTGCAGAGAAGAGAGAGTGAGAGAAGACAGAGTGGGTTAGACAGTGAACACTGTATTCATATAGGCTGTTGGAGGAAAAATCACATTGCATGTTTATTCTGAAGTTTATTCTATCATAGATCAAATAAAACCAACCCTTTAACACTCCAAGGGCTAGATTTATATGCTGTATTGGTATGCCAAGTGAGAGCCACTTGGTGGCAGTAGAGGTTTTGCAGAAAACAGTCAGGGTCAAGTGAGTGATTCAGATACTTCATCAGTGCTGAAGTACCTCCATTTTCACAGAGACTTGTGACTTGTTGCCTTTTGTTATATGTATAAAAATAAATTATGACCTAGATAGTTTTATAAGTCCAACAGTGGCAGAACAGAGCTTTTAATATATAAAACAACAAGAGCTCTGATTACCTTTAATTGACAGAAACGTCTAATGTAAAATGACTCATGTCTCCTCAAATCCATTTGCCCTCCTCATTTTAAAACTCTAGGGCTTCGTAAAAAGAAGCACCCCCCTGCACTTGTGCTGCGATCAGCTTTCTCAGACACTGTCCTCAGCGCCCATGCAGCCCGAGAGCGGCTCGCTTTTACAAATTGAGTCAAGTCTCCCAGCCCGTGCTGCCAAGCAGTTATCGACTGCGCTACAGGCTATCATTGCTGCTCTTAGTCATTCTGAGTCCTGGCTGGATTTCCATTACAATGCCAGGTGTCATAGTTGTTTTAGCTTTGGAGAGCTTAGGGTTACTGGAAAAGCTTGAACTTGTGATAGTGAGCAGCCCTCTGGAAACCACAACAAACATATCTTTTATTACGTTGTATTGATTTCAGGAGATGTCTGTTTTGCTACTTTCAAGGGCAGCGGCTTCATGGTCAGGGAGAAACAGTGCTCATATGAGAGCTGCAGAGCAGTAGCTGTATGAGTATTGAATCGATGGTTTGTGTGGGCAGTGAAGGATTGTGATAGTAGAACAGGGATGAGGAGGTAGGAAGCTTTCACTGATGTTCTAGTTGCACACTGGGGGTTTCGGGATTGACTGTTAGGAAGAGAAAAGCAGAATAATGGGGAAGAAACAAAGAAAGAGGTCTGAATGGGTGAAGGAGAGGTATCTCTTGAGTGTGGTTTGTCTAGCCTGCTGTAGTGTCTCTCTGTGGAGTTCATTGGGGATCTGCCTCTCCTCCTTTCGTATCCCAGCCCTGTACCCAGCCCTCCCAGCTCTCAGAGTGGCCCCATGTTTTATCTTCATGGGCCCGGCGCCTCAAAGCTCAGTGCCTAATGACACTTTAATGACCTTCTTTATCAAACTATCATTGGCTTTTGTGGAAGAAACACAAAGACGCAGGCATGCGCTGACAACCCAAGGCCACTTCCCTTCCCACTCCGAAATGATGGAATTTATAGCAAAACAGATAAATGATGAACAACACAGCATAACCCCCAAATAATCAATACAGAAATGGAATCCAGACAGCAGTCTCTTTACAAGTGTCAGGTAAGCAGGGTGAGGGCTGGATTTTATCAATCAGACTGGGAGGGTACGCAGGGCGGGTGTCTGGATCAGATAAGCTGCAGCTTGGGCTGACTGGGTCTCTGCAAGCCTTTAATGAGAGGAGAACCTTCGAAAAACTGTAAAATCAACCTCATATCAGAGGCTAACTCGAAGTGGATCAATTTTATCATTCAAATCTGAGAGGGATGAAACGAAACCAAAGCACATTTACACATCTTAAAAGTAAACGCAACAGATCAAAGTCTTTACGGGTCTTTGGGGGGGGGACTACTGCGTATGTGAAAAATGTTGTACAAAGCCTTTTGACAGTATAGGTACTACAAGTTTAAAAATGAAAAAAACCTGGAGGTGTGGAGTTAGAGGTGAGACATAGCCCACTCCTCATCTCTGCTTGAGTCTCTAGGCTTGAGGATATATTAGACACTAGTATAACACACTCAAATCTCCAACTGCTGGCAGTTGAGCTGCATTGTGATTTTGATTTTGATTTGATTTGATTTATTTAGATATCTTTTAGCTCAATGTCTAATCCCAAAAGACCACATTAAAAACATCAAAACATACAACAATTCATAGATAATTTACACATAATTGTTGAGACACACATACAGATATTAATCTACACGCGTTAACAAATACCAATATCCAGACCTTACAGTCTAGGAGTACTATGCAAAATTGGTGGAGTACTCCATGAATAACCATGTATCGAATACTGTACATGATGCATAATTCGGAACAATGAGGTCTATGTTTTGTTCCAAACCTTCAATTATGGTAGAGATGTGAAACAGCATTCTAGTTCCCACTGCAGGGTGGACGAGTTTAATTTTGACAGGGTCTTACACAGCCCGGTAGTCTAATCCTTTGAGGAATGGGCAGTGTGATGAAAGAGGCTGACATTACACCAAGATGTCATGCAGCGAGCCTAAAAGTGTTCATTACTCGTGGAGCCAGGAGGGCATTATGTGTATGTGGACTCCCACTTAACACAGCAAACTGAATGCCTCTGTGTAGTTGACACCATTGGCTAAGATAATAGAGGGGTGGCCGTGTAAGAGAGTCAGCGGGTGATGATTTGAGAGACCTGCTGAGATCACATGAAAGCAGAATAACCACAACAATACTTTAGTAATACTTTAGTATTGTTGATAACAAAAAACAACTGACAAAAGCCACGATTGAGCTTCAAAAAGAGACGTGTTACAATTACTGTTGGGAGAAATGTGGTCAACATGAATAAACTCACATTTTCCAGATTACTTCTTTCTTGTTATACCACAAACATGGCTTTTGTTTTGACTCAGGCATCATGTAATTGATTTGAGGGATATCTGATTTCTGGTCTCATAGTTATCAGGCTATAGCACCATCTTTTTCTAGCAGCTCTTTATGCATGCAAAAATAGTGGCTGAGTGAGTGGCTGTTATTCTGGTAATATATTGAGATAGGGTGGGATCCCAAAGAAAACAGTAATAACACTGAGGAGGGTGTGGGAAGATTCTACCCCCCTGCCCACCCCTGTAACTTCCGTACAGTCCCTTACAGGCTGTCCACAGTAGCCACCAGGCAGTAAAAAGCTACGAGTGCTTCCATCATTTACCTCCTAATAGACCCAAGTAGCAGTTTACTAACCTCCCAACCCCCAATCAATGGTCCGCATTTGTAAGAACTCAAGACAGGGAGGAGAGTCAAGCTTGGCCAGACCTTTTTCTGCAGAGTGGAATGAAAGTGAAGAGGTGTGGAGAGAGTCTGTCATCACCGATCAGATGAGTGCCGCTGAGTACACAAGACTATCATAATGGCTCAGAGATGATGAGACAGTGAATAATGGAGAGACCTCCAGTTAGCTGGGCACTAATGTGTCCCAGTTTCATTGCAAACTTTACACAGTCCCAAAGAATAGGTCACGATCTTTCAATGCGTGTGTTTATTCACAGGAAATTCACAGGATGCCAAAACAAACATAAACCTCTCAGAATCAGAGCTAATATGAAGAAGTGGCAATTTTCTGCAGTATTTTGAGTTTCTTAAATTACCTTTTCACAGGGTTGTCATTTAACTTACTTACAGTCTGTTAATCTTGAAAACCTTCTTGGATTACTCGCTGTATTTGTCACTGCTGACAACTTGTTTGAATGCACACTTCATCAGCTTTAAAGTGGGCTCAGAACTCAGAGTGAGGAAGTAAAATATTGATTTGGAAACGCAAAACTGCCAGAAGCATCCAAGAGCACTGGATTTCATTGTTGATCAGCTCTAGCCTGTTTTCACAGGTAGCTGCAAGGCTGCGAAGGCCTTTGTGAACGCTAATGAATAGCAAATACCTGTATGTGCTTGCTTCTCTCTTTCTGCGCAGAAAGGCTCTTTGTGTGTGCATCCATGGCAAGGGTAGTAGAGGAGAGGAGGAAAATTAAATAAAACAGAGCATTGTGCTACCATACAAAGACGCTGTGCAGCTTTTAGCAACTAAATGAACTAAATTAACCTTGAATCTCTTTCTCAATGGTGTAGCGAGAAATGGAAAGCTGCTCACAGAGACGCTGTAACAGGTTCACAGCAGTGAGGATGATAGAAAGAGATTGAATGGGTTTGTGGGGCAGGAAGGTGTGTGATAACCTGGCGTCCAAGCGTGACACTGAATCAATTTCATCACAGACCTTTTACACAGAATTCACTGGCTTAGTTTATTACACAAACCTAGAAACACACAAATCATAGGACCACTCGTGCGTCATATAATGTGAAAGCCTGAGTTCACTTGTAGAAATCTGGTATGTCTGGAATCAACTGTTGTCAGAAATGTCAGAAATCCAATATACTGTAGTCCCAGACATTCATACACATTGTATCTCCTCAATTTTATTCTTCCCAAGATATTACTAATAAAAAATTCAATTCTGTGAGCTTCAAGGCCGCTTATACCAAGACCTCTGCTTTGGATCAAACTCTATTTCCACCCTGTCCTGACTGTCATAATTCGGTTAGCAATGGGAAGGGTTAAATTAAACTCAATAGGAAATGGGTGGCTCCCCCACTGTAGATGCAGTGCTCTTTAATTCCTGCTTTGTCGTGGTGTCATCTGTCTGTTTTCTCCCTCTGGCAAACAGTTACATAAAATATATTAAATGCACTGATTATTGTCACCCCGGCCCAGACAGAAAGACGCCTGTCGAGACAACTAGCGTGCAGTAAAACCTGGTGTACAGTAGTCTTGTGCTGAAGCAGAGTGATTCACTGCCTAAACAATAGGGTTCTTTTAAATCCTTACAGAAGATTTACAGTTGAACAGTAGCTTAGTTCACTAACTGTCTTTGTGTGTTCTTTTATAGAGGCACTTTAAAGCATTTTATAATGAGAAGTCAGCAAGAGAAAGACAGTGACATTGAAAAATAAGACAGGACAGGTTATACAATATACATTCAAGCCTTGCAGGCAGCAAGATGGAACTAGAATATATTAGAATAGACTTAATGCCCTGCTTATCTTCTCTGA